ATTATGTGTTCGCTAAATAAAAGCTTTTTACCCTCTCTGGAGATCCATGGTGTGCTGATTACATTCTCTTGCTCTGATTGCCTTCGGTTCCAGCCGATTGTTTCTACAACACCCCTTAACACCTACAACCACTTTGCAGGAACGTATGTTTGTCATAGTCCACCCATCACATCAGAGTCCACCATCACCACAGACTTTCCCCATCACAGAGCCTCCAATCACACAGTCAGCTCCCAACTCCTCGCAGGTCACGCAGTCTCTCCATCACAGAGCCCCCCAGTCACACAGTTAACTCCCCTACTCCTCGCAGGTCACGCAGTCTCCCCATCACAGAGCCCCCCAATCACACAGTCCACTCCCCCACTCCTCACAGGTCACGCAGTCTCCCCATCACAGAGCCCCCCAATTACACAGTCAACTCCCCCACTCCTCGCAGGTCACGCAGTCTCCCCATCACAGAGCCCCCCAATCACACAGTCCACTCCCCCACTCCTCGCAGGTCACGCAGTCTCCCCATCACAGAGCCCCCCAGTCACACAGTTAACTCCCCCTACTCCTCGCAGGTCACGCACTCCCCTCACAGAGCCCCCCAATCACACGTCTCCTCGCAGGTCACTCTCCCTATCACAGAGCCCCCCAATCACACAGTCCACTCCCCCACTCCTCGCAGGTCACATGGTCTCTCCATCACAGAGCCCCCCAATCACACAGTCCGCTCCCCCACTCCTCGCAGGTCACGCTGTCTCCCCATCACAGAGCCCCCCAATCACACAGTCCGCTCCCCCACTCCTCGCAGGTCACTCAGTCTCCCCATCACAGAGCCCCCCAATCACACAGTCTGCTCCCCCACTCCTCGCAGGTCACGCAATCTCCCCATCACAGAGCCCCCCAATCACACAGTCCACTTCCCCATTCCTTGCAGGTCACGCAGTCTCCCCATCACAGAGCCCCCTAATCACATATTCCCCCCTTCACAGATCTCCCCAGTCATGCAGTTCCCTCTTCACACCACCTTTTGACTCCAGCGCTCTCTTCTTTTCTAGCTGCAGTGGGTAAGCGAGCACAGTTTGAATGGGGGGCACAAAATTGTAGCGTCCAGTCTATCCTGCAAATGGTAGGATGGAGAAGGATTGAGGGACTAGCAGTTTTCACAGATAGCCCCCCCCCCACAGGGTACTACGCAAGTTGAGGACCAATGCCTGCAAACACTGAAATACAGATCTCTATTATTCTGCACAGATCTCAAAGACCTCAGAGTGACAGAGAAGACATTTGAAGCTGAGGATGGAAAAATACTCCTAAAGATTAAAGAGGAGGAAATTCCTCCAAAGAGCATCACAGGTGAGTTACAGCAACTAAATTCAGAACATATCCATGGATTCTCCTTGTTTTGTTGTAACAAACTCTTCTCCCTTTTTGTACCCGCTGTCATCTTTGACCATTGTCCCTCTCTTCTCAAACATTGTGCTTTTTTTTTTTAAGGATTTTTTTTTTTAAATAATAAATATTCATTTTTTTTAAATTAAAATTTTCAATAAAGAAAACACAAAAACAAGAACATTACAATTAAAAACAAAAAAACAAAACAGTCGGGATCTTGGTGTATTTTTATTTTTGTGGATTTTGGTGTATGGCCCACAGTGTTACAAAAAGATCTTGTCAATTTGTTTTCTATTTCCTCTAAGCACATGCATTGGTTTAAAAAAGCATCAATTAATGTTAATCAAGGAAAGGTATTTGGCAAGGGAAGGAGGTTACATAGTTAGTCTGGCTTAAAAAAGACAAAAGTCCATCCAGTTCAACCATTAAAAAAAAAAAAAGTTATAATCCTATACCCACAGTTGATCCAGAGGAAGGCAAAAAAAAACCCAGCAAAGCATGATCCAATTTGCTCCTGCAGCGGAGAAAAATCCTTCCTGATCCCCTGAGAGGCAATCGAATATTCCCTGGATCAACTTTACTCTCGTGTAACCAGTCGTGGTCAACTTCACTCTTGTGTGACCAGTCAAGGTCAACTTTACTCACGTGTGGCCAGCCGAGGTCAACTTCACTCTTGTGTGAACAGTCAAGGTCAACTTTGCTCTCATTGTGTGAGCAGTCAAGGTCAACTTTGCTCTTGTGTGGCCAGCCGAGGTAAAAAAAAAAAGTTATAATCCTACACCCACAGTTGATCCAGAGGAAGGCAAAAAAACCCAGCAAAGCATGATCCAATTTGTTCCTACAGGGAAAAAAATTCCTTCCTGATCCCCCGAGAGGCAATCGGATATTCCCTGGATAAACTTTACCTATAAATGTTATATCCAGTTATATTATATGTATCCAAGAAATAATCCAGGACTTTTTTAAAGAAATCAACTGAGCTGGCCAGATGCAACTCTTGAGGGAGTCTATTCCACATTTTCACATCTCTTTCTGTGAAGAATCCTTTCCGTGTTTGGAGATTAAATTTAGATTTAGATATCTCTCGATCCGTGAGACGGCCCTTAAAGTTTTAACCCACTCTAGACTTCATATTATGGTTTCCAGGAACATTGTACCTCTGTTTTAGGGGCTGTCCCTTGCTGGTACCCTTGCGCATGTGTTTTGTGCTTGTCCTGGTCTCTCCTTGATCTGGAGTAGAGTTTCTACGGTGGCCTCTGCCTTGGCAGATACTCCGGTAAATATGTCTATGCAGATTTGCTTACTGGGTGTTCCCATTCTGGAGATCCCAGCCAACGTAATGAGGCCAATTGTGTCTCTACCTTATGGGGCATTGCCCTTCATTGGAAGTCACTGATTGTCCCTTTGGCCTCTGTCTTGCGGAGAGTCGATGTGGTGATGCTCATGTAATGTATTCAATTTACATTGCTGGATAGGATGCACTTAATGAACCAAAAATGGGATGGTTGGCAAACACATCGGCATTTATTGTTCGACTGATGGGCTATCATAGATGGATTGGTATTGAATCTTTGTTGACTATTTGGTTGTTCTGCATACCTTACTGCCTAACTCATTCATATACATGAAATTTAATTTTTCTATGATTGTATTTTATAATATTGTTCATTACTTACAGTTGTGCTTAAAAGTTTACATCCCCTGGCAGAAATTGTGAAATTTTGGCATTGATATTGAAAATATGACTGATCATGCCACAAAATGCTCTTTTATTGAAGGATGATGATCATATGAAGCCATTTATTATCAAATAGTTGTTTGGCTCCTTTTTAAATCATAATGATAACAGAAATCACCCAAATGGCCTGGATCAAAAGTATCCGCCCCCTAGATCAGAAGTCTCCGCCCCCTGGAACGTTTGGCCTTGGTACAGACACACAAGGTGACACACACGGGTTAAAATGCCAATTAGAGGTTAATGTCCCACATCTGTGGCTTTTTAAATTGCAATTAGTGTCAGTGTATAAATAGTCAATGACTTTGTTAGCTATTACATGGAAGCACTGACTAGGCTAGATACTGAGCCATGGAGATCAAAAAATAACTGTCAAACGTTCTGTGTAACAAGGTAATGGAACATTATAAAGATGGAAAAGGATATAAAAAGATGTCCAAAGCCTTGAATATGCCAATCAGTACTGTTAAATCACCTATTAAGAAGTGGAAAGTTCGGGGATCTCTTGATACCAAGCCAAGGTCAGGTAGACCAAGAAAGATTGCAGCCATAACTGACAGAAGAATTGTTCGGAATACAAAGGGAAACCCACAGGTAACCATAAGAAAAATATAGGCTGCTCTGGAAACAGACAGTGTGGTTGTTTGGAAGGAGCACAATATGATGACACTTGAACAAAAATGAGCTGCATGGTCGAGGTGCCAGAAAGAAGCCTTTACGGCACCAATGACACAAGAAGGCCCAGTTAGACATGTCAAGGTGTTGTCAGGCATATTGTAACCGGGCTTTTTTGTGGCATTGATGCAGTAAAAGCTTCTTTCTGGCACCTTGACCAAACAGCTCATTATTGTTCAAGTATCACCATATTGTATTCCTTAAAAACAACCACATCATCTTTTTCCAGAGCAGCCTGTTTTTCTTTTGAGGTTTTCTGTGGATTTTTCTCTGAATCCCGGACAATTCTTCTGTCAGTTGTGGCTGCAATCTTTCTTGGTCTACCTGACCTTGGCTTGGTATCAAGAGATCCCCGAACTTTCCACTTCTTAATAGGTGATTTAACAGTACTGATTGGCATATTTAAGGCTTTGGACATCGGTTTATGTCCTTTTCCATCTTTATAAAGTTCCATTACCTTGTTACGCAGGAATTTTGACAGTTCTTTTCTGCTCCCCATGGCTCAGTATCTAGCCGAGTCAGTGCTTTCATGTAAGATCTAACAAACTCATTGACTATTTATACACTGACACTAATTGCAATTTAAAAAGCCACGGATGTGGGACATTAACCTCTAATTGGCATTGTAACCCGTGTGTCACCTTGTGTGTCTGTACCAAGGCCGAACATTCCAGGGGAGGGAAACTTCTGATCCGGGCCATTTGGGTGATTTCTGTTATCATTATGATTTAAAAAGGAGCCAAACAACTATTTGATAATAAATGGCTTCATATGATCATCATCCTTCAATAAAAGAGCATTTGTTGGCATGATCAGTCATATTTTCAATATCAATGCCAAAATTTCACAATTTCTGCCAGGGGTATGTAAACTTTTAAGCACAACTGTATGTGCCCTTTTCTTGATGTATACTCTACCTCAAGAAGTTGTGCTATTTTTGTTGTCTATCTCTCAATAAAAACATTTGTAAACAAAAAAAAAGATATGAGAACCTTAAAAAAGTAGATTTCCTATCTCTTCCAGATGAAACCAACACAACGTGCAGCTTGGAGGCACCAGACAATGAAAAAGATGATGATATTACAGGAAGATCTTTAGAGGAAAACCCCACTACTCCAAATCTCCATCCAGTCCATCAAAGTGCAAGTCCATCAACTGATCCCTGTACACATGGTGGGAGTTTTCCTGATTTTTCCCATCCCACTCGTAGTGGGGGTGAAATGTTCCAGTGTTCCGAGTGCGGGAAGTGTTTTAACCAGAGAGCAAAACTCATCACGCATCAGAGGAGTCACACTGGAGAGAGGCCATTTTCCTGCTCTGAATGTGGGAAAGCTTTCACCCAAAGGGGCAACCTGCTAACGCATCGAAAAATCCACAAAGGAGAGAAGCCATACTCCTGTTCGGAGTGCGGGAAATGTTTCCTCCTGAAGGGAGGTCTCATTAAGCACGCAAGATTTCACACAGGGTTGAGACCATTCTCCTGTTCTCAGTGCGGAAAAAGCTTTCCAGATAAAGGCTGCTTAGACCGACACGAGGTAACCCACACGGGGCAGAAGCCCTACTCTTGTTCGGTCTGCGGGAAATACTTTTCTTCCAAATCCTACGTCAGCAAGCATGAAAGGAACCACAAGCGGGAGCAACCATTTTCCTGTTCCAAATGTGGAAAAGGCTTTCCAGATGCCACCCGACTGGAGCGGCACATAGTGGTGCACACGGGGGGGAAGCCCTATACGTGTTCGGAATGTGGAAAAACCTTTTCACAAAAGTCCAACTTGAACGAGCACGAGAAGACACACACGGGAGAGAAACCGTTCTCTTGCTCCGTGTGTGGGAAACGCTTTGCCTATAAGTCAAACCTGACAACGCACGAGAGGGCGCATGCAGGGGAGAAGCCACATTCATGCCCTGTGTGTGGGAAAAACTTTGCGCAAAAATACATCCTGGCCATGCACGAAAGGACGCACACAAAGGAGAAACCGTTTTCCTGCAGTGTATGCGGGAAGCCTTTCGCCCACAAGTACACCCTGGCCATGCATGAGAAGGCTCACTTGGGGGAGATGCCATATACGTGTACCGTCTGTGGGAAAAGCTTTGCGCAAAAGTACGTCCTCGATGACCACGAGAGGACTCACACGGGGGAGAAGCCATACTCCTGCAGCGTATGCGGGAAGTGCTTTGCGCACAAGTCCAATCTTATCACGCACAGGAGAACTCACACAGGGGAGAAGCCCTATGCCTGCTCCATGTGCGGGAAATGCTTTGCACAGAAACCCCATATGATTACACACGAGAGGTCTCACACAGGGGAGAAACCATTTTCCTGTTCGGAATGTGGAGTGTGTTTCACTAGGAAATCCAAACTTGTCAGCCATCAGCGTTCACACACAGGGGATCCTTCTGATGTCCGGTTGCAGCACCTTAAAATTCAAATCAAAGAGGAAATTTCTGACACGGTGGATGGATAAAAATTGGTGCGCTTGCCAACACAGCAAGGACGGCATTACCCCAGGTTCATATCTCCGCGTTTTGTGCGGGCACGAGAGCCCATTCGTTTGAATGGACTTCCATGCCCCGGGACACGCAGCGAAGCAGCCCCTGAACTTCTGAAACGTAGCCCGCACGGGAACCTCGGTTCCCAGTACGGATGCGATTTCCAGTGTGGGCGGCGCGCCATTAGAAGTAATGGCACCTGCCCGCGGGTCCGCATTCCTCTGTGCGGTTGGTGCAGCTGCACGGATTTGTGTGCGGATCTGCAGCGGCACCACCCTGCATGGACTCCTGTGCCCTGGGACATGCAGGGAAGAACTCCCTGCACTTCTTCGGAAAGCGCAGCCCGCACGGTGTTCAAAGTTCAAAGAGGAACAATCTGACATGGTGGATGGATACAAATTGGTGCGCTTGCCAACACAGCAAGGACTGCATTACCCCAGGTTCACATCTCCGTGTTTTGCGCGGGCACGAGATCCCATTCATTTGAATAGACTCCCGTGCCCCGGGACACGCAGGGAAGCAGTCCCTGAACTTCTGAAAACGCAGCCCGCACGGGAACCTCAGTTCCCAGTATGATTGCGATTTCCAGTGCGGGCGTCGCACCATTAGAATGAATGGCACCCGCCCGCGGGTCTGCATTCCTCTGTGCGGGTGGTGCGACTGCATGGATTTTTGTTCGGATCTGCAGGGGCACCAACCGCACATATGTGAACCTAGCCTTGCAGAACAGGTAGACAGTGGTGTCACTAGGGTGGTTGTCACCTGGTGTGAAAAAACATGGAGTCAGGGGCGTCCCTAGGGTTGGTTTCACCTGCTGCGATAACACTTGGTGACACCCCCTCCGACGATCCCCGCAGAATGGATCGGATCTGCGGATTGAGCATAATGGATCGGACTCCAATCCATTATGCTCAATCCGCAGATCCGATCCATCCTGCAGGGATCGTCGGCTTGCTTTACAACTTACCTTTTAGTGGAGCGGGTCCAGTGTCACCGCTAGGGACGCCACTGCATGGAGTCACGCCCCTCAGCGCTGAGGGACACTGGATTTTCTCAATGATCCACAGGTACTTTCAGTACTCGCAGAAATTTTGCTTAGGCTGAAAAAAGAAAACTAATACAGCCACCACATCCAAAGACTTGTAAACGCAGTTATTATTATTATGCTCCCCAATCCGCAGATCCGATCCTTCCTGCAGGGATCGTCAGCATGCAACCTATACGGGGTGACACCGGACCCGCGCCACGAAAAGGTAAGTTGTAAAGCAAGCCGACGATCCCCGCAGGATGTATCGGATCTGCGGATTGGGGAGCATAATGAATCGGACTCTGATCCATTATGCTCAATCCGCAGATCCAATCCATCCTGCGAGGATCGTCGGCTTGCTTTACAACTTACCTTTTTGTGGAGTGGGTCCGGTATCACCCTGTGTGGTAGATGTCACCCGGTGGGGCGCGCACCCCCCACACCTGTCTAGACACACCACTGCATGGAGTCACCCCCCTCAGCGCTGGGGGACACTAGATTTTTTCAACGATCCACAGGTACTTTTGCTTAGCCTGAAAAAAGAAAACTAATACAGCCACCACATCCAAAGACTTGTAAACCGCAATTATTATTATTATACAGGATTTATATAGCGCGAACACTTTGCTGAGCGCTTTACAATATACAGGGAGACAATACAGCAACAATACAGATCAATACAAGAGGGATAGGAGGGCCTGATCCTGGGAGCTTACAATCTAAGAGGGAGATAAACAATACGTTTGTTCTTGGGTTTGGGATATACCGTATTTTTCGCTCCATAAGAGCAACTGACCATAAGATGCACCTAGGTTTTAGAGGAGAAAAACAAGAAAAAAAATATTCTGAACCAATGGACTGCAGACATAGTATAGGAGATGACCAGAGACTGCGGAATCAGTACAGGAATGACCAGAGACTGCGGACAGTACAGGAGATGACCAGAGACTGCGGACAGTACAGGAGATGACCAGAGACTGCGGACACAGTACAGGGATGACCAGAGACTGCGGACACAGTACAGGGATGACCAGAGACTGCGGAATCAGTACAGGAGATGACCAGAGACTGCGGACATAGTACAGGAGATTACCAGAGACTGCAGACACAGTGCAGGAGATGACCAGAGACTGCGACACAGTACAGGGATGACCAGAGACTGCAGACATAGTACAGGGGATGATCAGAGACTGCGGACACAGTGCAGGGATGACCAGAGACTGCGGATACAGTATAGGAGATGACCAGAGACTGCGGATACAGTATAGGAGATGACCAGAGACTGCAGACACAGTACAGGGGATGAGATGACCAGAGACTGCGCACACAGTACAGGAGATGACCAGAGACTGCGGACACAGTACAGGGGATGACCAGAGACTGCGGACACAGTACAGGGGATGATCAGAGACTGCGGACACAGTGCAGGGGATGACCAGAGACTGCGGATACAGTATAGGAGATGACCAGAGACTGCGGATACAGTATAGGAGATGACCAGAGACTGCGGACACAGTACAGGGGGGAGATGACCAGAGACTGCGGACACAGTACAGGAGATGACCAGAGACTGCGGACACAGTACAGGGGATGACCAGAGGACTGCGGACACAGTACAGGGGATGACCAGAGACTGCGGACACAGTACAGGGGATGACCAGAGACTGCGGACACAGTACAGGGGATGACCAGAGACTGCGGACACAGTACAGGGGATGACCAGAGACTGCGGAATCAGTACAGGAGATGACCAGAGACTGCGGACACAGTACAGGGGATGACCAGGGACTGCGGACACAGTACAGGGGATGTCCAGAGACTGCGGACACAGTACAGGGGATGACCAGAGACTGCGGACACAGTACAGGGGATGACCAGGGACTGCGGACACAGTACAGGGGATGACCAGGGACTGCGGACACAGTACAGGGGATGTCCAGAGACTGCGGACACAGTACAGGAGATGACCAGAGACTGCGGACACAGTACAGGGGATGACCAGAGACTGCGGACACAGTACAGGAGATGACCAGGGACTGCGGACACAGTACAGGAGATGACCAAGAGACTGCAGACAATATAGGTGATGACCAAGAGACTGCGGACCTTTGGGGAGGGAGGGGGGGAGCGGGTACCTGAATTTAACAGGTACCTGTTCCCACTTACGCGGAGTTGTCCTCCCTTTAGTGTGGGCACCCGGCACAGCCACTGCGCATGATGCCGGACCATTCACAAAGCGCGGCTGTCACAGCGATGCCAGTGCGGGAAGACTGCACAGCGCTGGACTGAGGAACAGGTAAGGTCCTGCTGTAGAGAAGAGCTGAGTGGCTGGCCCGGTATTCTGACAAGGCGGCGGTGGAAATACCGGACCGGCCGCTCCATATTCACTCCATTAGACGCACAGACATTTCCCCCCCTTTTTTGGGGGGGAAAAAGTGCGTCTTATGGAGTGAAAAATACGGTACTTTAAAACTTGCTACTTTCAGCTCCAGTACGTGGGACATAGTCAGTACTCTAGATTGTGGGCTGTCATGGAGGATGAAAACCAATTACCAAAGAAATGACCGAATCTCCGTAAAAAAGGCGATGACATCTGATTGATAGCGAACACGGTATAGCTACGACTGGTGGGCCTGTTTCCAGATATGAAGTTCGAGAAAGTGAAACTTGAAAGAATCATACATTAATAAAATTAGAAATGATTTTTTTCTTGGTGTTATAAATTATGCAGATCTTATGAATGTAAAAATAAAGTCCTTTGATTGCACTTCTCATAGCAAATGTTTGTTTTATGACTTCTGCAGGCCATACATGAGTCGAATTCCGAACGATTTTTCATCCGAAAATTGAAAATATTGTTCGCTCGGTAATCCGATGGCGCCATCAATGATTTTGACAATCGGCCGAAACAAGTCATAACGTTCACCCCATATAACAGGCGAAACTTCAGTTCCTTCCAGGTCACGGCTCATGCGCATATTTTTTTCGGAAAAAATGATCGTACAATTTAACCATCATTGAGTCGAAAATCGGTAGTTTTTCACAAATTTTCCAACCTGCCCGATCATCGGAAAGGGGAGGTACCATGAAAATTGGCCGGTGCCATTGACCCACTAACAGAGCGAATATCGGCTGATTATTCTTAGGTCCGATTTTCGGACGAAAAATCGCGACCCATGTATACTTTCCTGGACAGTTCTTTATTTCTCTTCCTGAAAGACAAACCAGATATTCCTTTTAGTACCAGGCTATACGGGTATTATAAAAGTGCAAATGAAGGTTTCATATCCCTCTGACAAGTTCTAGGACAGCGTTTCTCAACCTTTTGTTAGGCATGGCAGCCTCTAAAAATATGCAAAATCCCGAGGCACCCCAGTCTAAAACGTAAAAAAAAAAAAAAAAAAAAAATTTAAATGTTGCTTATCAATAGGAAATCTGAGCATGGGACAATGCACACATACCTGCCTTGATTACATTAACTTCCCATCAGAAGCCCCCCTTTACAACAGAGTCCTCCCGTTCTCGTCAGAGGCCCCCATCATATCAGATGTCCCCCTTTCGCATCAGAAACCCCAATCACATTAGAGTCCCCCTACTATAGATTAGAGGTTTCCCTATATATACTGTATATGAGAGTCCTTCTTCACAGTCTATTCATAACACCAGAGTCCCCCCATCACAGAGCTCCCCAATCACACAGTCCCCCAATCACAGAGATCCCAATCACACAGTTCCACAATCACACAGTCCCCCCATCACAGAGATCCCAATCACACAGTCCCCCATCACAGAGATCACAATCACACAGTCCCCCCATAACAGAGATCACAATCACACAGTCCCCCCATCACAGAGCCCCCCAATCACACAGTCCACCCATCACAGAGATCACAATCACACAGTCCACCCATCACAGAGCCCCCCAATCACACAGTC